GGTAGAACTCGGGCGGCTTCTCATCTGCATTCATACAAAATTGACGATTGTGAGTTTTGGCTCGAGGTCCAAGACCCATATTTCATCTAGGGCCGGGGTGCGTTTTCACAGTCGTGAATGACATCTCATGCTGAGAACATTACTGCTAGAGGCATAGAATCGGTACTGCGTTCGTGCTTCTATAAGAAAATTAGGTACCCATGCGCACACCTCTTGACCATCCTCAGTTTATCGGACATAACTCGGGCAGCAGTTGCAGCAGGGATGTCAGTCTCGCGGGGAAGCTCGACAAAGGTCCAGGCTCTGGGATCAGATATTCAGCGCTTGACTTCATCCACCCTTTTTTCCACCCATCCACGACAACAAATTTTTTCCTCTTCCTTCTTCGAGCTCCTGAACCAAATCTTCCACCTTGTATTCGAGAACACCATTACACACAACTACTGGTCAAATTTGAGCAGCGCACTTCCCTCTTATGACGCCTGATTTGAAAATCCGGCGCTGATTTTCACCACTCAGGCTTCTTTTCAATTTCTCGAGAACTTCCTCTGTGGTAGGTTCGCCAAATTTCACAGATACATAGCTAAAGGTACTAGCCTCCAAATGGTATAGTAGCCCGCTGCCCTATCCCCTTTGCTTTTCTGCCATTCCTCTGCATGTCTCGGCACTTTTGAATGGATGACCTAATATCTCATTATTTCAAAACCTCACCGTTCCCTCAACTCAAATATTGTACGGTTCTCACCTACACCCACCGTTTTTGATCTTGGTGCCACAATCTGCTCGGGTTAACGTAATGTCGGTGGAGAAGTTTCCGGCGTGTTGATTCTCGTGCAGTTTCTCGTGGTTTAAATGTTTGATTAGAAATTCAGGTACAAGTATAGGAGGGACCAAATCTTCCTGAGCGTTCCCTGAACACTCCTTGGCGCACATATCAGGGAAATGAATTCTCAAAAATAATGCGCCAACCGCCTACGCATGATGGGGAAGAGGAAGATGTTTTGCACTGAGTCCCTGACGAAATGGTTAGCCGTTGCGGCGAGTGGTGGTGTGGGCGTTGCTTATACACAGATGCAGGAGTAACATTTTTGAATGAACAATGATGCGATGTTTTGTATTGTTTTAACATAGTAACTGCTGTTTAACGCCGCAGTATGCGCCCGGAAATTTATCACAAGACTCAGCATTCGGGTGATAATGATGCGGATTCTTCAGTTCTGCACGATAGTTTGAAATTGATAGTCAAGTGGGTGGGCGGAGTGAGCCGACGCGAAGAAAAACTCTAAGCATTTCCAAGAAAGATCGTGATGGCCGTCCAGTGGTTCTGTTCTCGGTTCTGGGTGTAAATCACTTCAAAGACAGCTTGATAAGTTCTCTATGGTAACCATAGTGTGGCAACCAAGGCAGAGCAAATCTCATAAGAAAGCAGGAGAGCGATGTTGTGATTCAGTGAGCGAAGAGTTTTTGGTGATTCTTTCGCAGTGACATGCAAACATTATTCAGTATGAGCATTCAAGCTCTTCCGCGGGCTTTATCTTTCTCAGATGTACTAGCAGGGTACAGCATCGTTGTGTCAAACCCATGGGGGGGGGGTCGTACTTTTGCTCTGGGGAGGGGGGGTCGTATTTGTAAGACAAATTTATTTTGATAGTTGATTTTTTCTTGTGGAAAAGGGGGTCGTATTAATTTTTTTTTTATATGCACTATATGCATTGTGGGATATACGTTGCATAGTTATTG